AGGAAAGGCGCCCTGTTTGCTGCTGCAGCATCTAGTTCAGATAGTGATGCAGCATCCCAGGGTGGGACCCCTCCATCTGGGACTTCTCCCTCATCTGCTGCAGATCCTGTTGTTCTTCCCCTGGCTGATGCTTTGATGGGCATGGCAAGGGGTAAAGCCCCAGCCCAGAAAGCACCAACCAATCAGCAAGGGGAAAGGTAAGGGACGTGCCTCTTCCCCTAGAGTCTAGAGAGTACCACTACCACGCGACGTCCGTTGGCCAGCTCACCCCCTTGATCCTTCCTCCTTCCCCTGACATGCACTCAGGATCCAGGAGGGGGTCTGGAGGAAGAGAAAGGACAAGGGTATCTACCTGAGGTGCGAGGGGGACCATTTCTTAAAGGACTGTCCCCGCATGCCTTGCAGGTCCACAGGCGGCTCTAGTTCAAAAAACTAGAGCATAGAGAGGTGGAAGCAGCAGCTCCTTCCACCAGTGCTGATTCACTTTCTGATGAAGGTGAATCTTCACAGTCTCTTGCTGTTTTTTCTACCGTTGGAGTTGCATCTTCAGGGTCTTTCACTTTTGAAGACTCTTAGTTGGATGAGGCGTGGGAGGATGATAATGCTCAGAGCCTTGCTGATCTTTTCATGTCCTTGCAGGAGAAGAAAAAGCATAGGTCAGAACTCATCCTGCTTCGACCATCTATCCTGGGAGCCAAGATCAAAGGGCTCTTAGATTGTAGGGCTACTCGCAACTTCATATCTCCCAAGGCAGTCAGCAAGTTGCACTTGGATCAGAGAGTAGTGAAATTGCGACAGCCTATAGAGGTTCGCATTGGGGACTCTTCCGCAGTGAGGATCACGACTGCTGTCAAAGGCCTACCTGTGGCCTTTGATAAGCAGGGAGAAATCAAGCACCGCCTGAATTTCTACGTGTTTCCTAACGTTCCCTTTGACCTTGTCTTCTCTAGGCAATGGCTTGGTTCCACCAATCCTAGGATCGACTGGCGATCCCTAGGGTTGAGCTACCTGACCGGCATGGGGTTTATCGCCCTTATATGCTCGTTGATAAGTACCATCCGGCCAACAGTTGTTACTGCATGAATGCCCGCCGATTTTTACGGTTCTCGCGCCAGACTGACCACACCCGTCTGTTTGTGGCTTATGTCAAACAGACTGATGTGGAAACTGTTCCCTGTCCCTCTCAAATTCAGCAGGTTGTTGGCCGCTTCTCAGATCTTATGGAGGAGCCTACTTGACTTGTCCATAGGCAGACCAAACATAAGATTGAGATCCTGCCTGGTTCGGTCCCTCCCAAGGGTCGAGTCTACAAGATGTCACCTGCCGAACTTGATGAGCTCATGAAACAGTTAGAGACCCTGACCAGCAAGGGATGGATCAGACCCAACACATCTAAGTTTGGGGCACCAGTCCTCGTTGTCCCAAAGGGGAATGGTGAATTCAAGATGTGCGTGGACTATCGTTGTCTCAATACATTCACAAAGAAGTCTACAGAGCCTCTTCCTCGCATTGATGATCTGTTGGACATGGTGCAGGGGTGTACCATTTTTAACAAGATCGATCTCAAATCTGGTTATCACCAGATTAAGATGGACGAAGGTGATATCCACAAGAAAACCTTCAAGACCAGGTATGGCACTTACGAGTACCTGGTCATGCCATTCGGTCTTTGCAACGCCCGAGGCACCTTCCAAACAGAGATGCATCGCATACTCCGACCTTACCTGGATAGGTTTGTAGTTGTCTACTTGGATGATATCCTAGTATTCAGTCGATCTGCCCAGGAGGAGGCGCATCATCTGGCTCTGGTCATCTAGGCAGTTCAGGACTGGCCGCGGCCTGCTAACATTCGTGATGTCCGGTCATTCTTGGGGCTTGCATCTTATTATAGGAAGTTTATTCAGAACTTCTCTTCTATTGCAGCTCCCTTGACTGATCTCACAAAGAAAGACGCTTCCTTTCTTTGGACATCAGAGTGTCATGAGGCTTTCACACGTCTCAAGGAGGCCTTGAGTCGTGCCCCTATTTGAAGTTACCGGACCCTACCTTGCCTTTTGTGCTTACCATTGACGCCAGTCAGTATGGTGTAGGGGTGATACTTCAACAGGATGATGGGAATGTCTGCAGACTGTAGAGGACATGAGTAAGAAGATCAAAACAAAGAAGCTGCAGGACTCTACCTATGAGAAAGAGCTCTATGCTCTTGTGTCAGCGCTCAAGCATTGGAAGCACTTCCTCCCAGGCAGGTACTTGGAAATCTTTTCAGATCACTCCACCCTACAGTGGATGAAGTCCCAGGGAGAACTGAATGACAAGCTTGCTCGCTATATTCGGTTCATTGACATGTTTGACTTTGAACTAAAACACAAAAAGGGCTGCTACAATTGAGTAGGCCTATCGCGAGGACCCGTTTATCGTTGAGATCATACGCTGACTCGAGGCAAAGGACAAAGTGACTTCTGCCGAGTTTGAGTTGATCAACGGCCTACTGTTCTTTGAGAAGGACGGGGATAAACGTTCGTGTGTGCCTAATCGGGAGTCTTTGCGTAGTTTATTTTTAGGTGAATGGCATGATGCCACATACATTTTGGTTATAAGAAGACTGCAGCCAATTTGCTGCAGCAGTTCTGGTGGCCCACAATGATGAGAGATGCCAAGCTCTACGTGGAGACATGTCAAGTGTGTCAGAGGGACAAGCCACGTACACAGGCCCTTCTTGGGCTTCTTAAGCCCCTTCCGACTCCGGAAAGGCTCAGTGAGAGCCTGTCCATGGACTTCATGGACACACTGGTCACCAACAAGAGTGGAATGAGACACATCTTTGTCATTGTGGATAAATTTAGTAAGTACGCTAGGTTAGTTGCAATGCCTGAAACAACAAAGACCGAGTACATGATTAAACTATTTAAGGAGAACTGGGTAAGAGACTTTGGGCTTCCAAAGTCTATTGTTAGTGACCGGGATGTCCGATTCACAAGCGGGTTGTGGAAGGCTGCAGCTGCAGAACAGGGTACACAACTGCAGATGACCTCCGAGAATCACCCAGAGGCAAACGGGCAAGCAGACCAGTTGAACCGTGCTGTACAACACCTGCTGAGGCATTACATTAAGCCCAACCAGGTGGACTGGGATGATAAACTTGCTCTCATCGCCAGCCTGTACGACAACGCTGTGCACAGCGCAACTGGGGTGAGCCCTAATAGTCTGTTACTGACTTTCAAACCTATACTTCCCCTTGACCACCTGTCACACTAGAATTCGCCTATTGATATGAACAACTGATGCAACAGGCGGTAGAACAGATGCATAAATCACAGGCGGTAATGATAGAATCTGAAAACAAACACCGCCGCCCATCAACATTCCAGGTAGGGGATAGAGTCTGGGTTAAGTCCTCTGAACGGGGGCAGGAGCACGGTATTTCCCATAAGCTCATGCCACAATACTTTGGGCCTTGAGAGGTTCTAGATATTGTCGGGGATAATCCGGATGGGCCGTCGTATGTAATTCACATCCCTGGTCACCTACGCACTTACCCTGTCTTTCATGCCGCCAAGCTCGCACCCTGCAAGGAAGCTGATCAGTTTCCTTCTCGCCACTCAATGCTGGCCCCAACCATGGATGGAGAGGCCGACATCGATGACATCGTGGATCACAGAGAACTGCGAGTTCCACGACCAACAGGAAGGGGACGCCCTCCGAAGCCGAAACTGCAGTACCGCATCCGGTTCAGACATCACACTGATCCAAAGGAGGACCAATGGTTTACAAGGGAGGAACTGATGCAGACCGCTCCGCAGGTTGTCACCCAGTATGAGAAGTCTCTGCAGAAAGGAAAGCGCCAGATTGAATGATGGAACTTCTCAGAGGACTCTCGAAGTATGGAGGAGGGAATGCGAGGCACAAGGCCTCGACGAGCCCTACTGGGCCCTGTTTCCAGCAATGCCGGCCGCCCTAAGTGAAGGCAGGCCCGACCAAGGACAAGAGGTCTATTTTCGGCTACCACGCAACTGGGGCAGGCAGCTGCACTGCGCCAGTTGCTTGAGAGTGCCCAGGCCCTGGCTGCCTTTTTCAAATGTGACTGAGGCAGGCACTGGGCCAGATACGCAACATGGGCCGAACACAGGCTGCGGGCAGTTGAACACGGGTAACCGCTCTAGGCCCTGGACCTGATTCCCTGGACCAGGGCTCAGCCACTTGGGGCCTACCGGAAGTTTCTGGGCAGGGGCCCAGCACAGCCAGGCCACATGCAGCGGGCAGGCCACTTCCATATAGGAAAGTGCCTGCCCCCGCATTGGGCATTTGGGCACTTGCTACATGCTGCGCAAGCGCTGCTCCGCTACTGGCAGGCAAGAGCCGACATGCTCACGGGCGAGCAAGGGATACGCAGGCAGCCATAGCCGAGTTGGCCTGCGAGGTGCTGGATGGGGCGCATGGTGGTCCTTGGGTGCACGTGGCATCTGTGTGGGTTGAGGTTGCGAGTGATGCGAGAGACATACCTGGTGCTTGAGGCGAACAGCATTGGCCGAGATCTGCTCATACTTCGGGGAGCTGTTGATGTCACCAGCGGCATTGGAGATAGGCTAGATAGGATCTGCCATTTGTAGTCTGGGCGCAGAGCGCCAGATAGGAAATCGACATTGGTTCTTTGTTGATGATGATGAGACTATTCCAACATTGTCACTTGTGAGCTTTTGGTGTACTCTTATTTGGTGGAACTCAAGTTGCAATTCTGCTTTTGGGTTCGAGGTCACAACTATCTGGTTTCATGTGTATGATGCTGCTTGGTTTCTGGAATTCGCTTTCGCTCATTTTCCTTGCACTATATCTAGTTTGCAACAAGTTCCTAAAGGTTCACTGCCAATCTGACATTGTGTGCTTTCTTTGCTGTGCGTTTCCAAAATTTCCATACACATGTTCAGAGACTTCCATCGAGTGTGACGGTGTGGATGACAAGGTGGTTGCACAATCTCTTGTTCAGTATATCTCGAGCAACTTTGGTTTCTCCTTTGGCGCCTGGGTTTTCCCATACAACAACAGCATCGATCGCTATGAAGGCCTTCCCCCACCTCCGCTTGCACCACCACCTCCGCCAGAGCCTCCCACTCCCTCACCCCCTCCTCCATCACCCCCATCGCCACCTTATCTTCCAGATCTTGGAGGGCGGAGGCGCTTACATGTTTGGAATCCCACTGAGATGCAAAAGCTGGATTCGATGGCAGCTGTCTCAGTCACCTTAACCAACAGGCAGGGTATGGATGAAGAAGTAAATACTGAAGTGCTGATCAATCCCTCTCAGTCATGGCATGCCCATGAGTGGACCAATAATTCCACTGTGCAAGTCAGTGAGAGGGCATCACATGCTTGGGGTTCTGTTTTTCTGTTTGAGTCCCCAGTGACAGGGAAGACGAACAGGGCTCAGCTTCTCTATTCTAGGAGAGAGAGAACATTTATCTACTACGATGATGGAATCCAGGGAGTTCGAGGCCCATACACAAGTGTGTTTCCTCCAGGGAAGTGGTATCATGTGTTTGTGGTGATCACAGAAAAGGGGCAAGGAAGCCTTTATGTCAATGGGAATATTGCTCAGAGCTTTACAACACAATCTCGAGTTGACCCTGCAGGCTCTTTCTCACTTTGTAGTGATACAGTGGCCCGGACATCAGTATCTCGTTCACTCATCTCCCAAGCAATGCCTCCATTCCCAACCTCTCCTTCCCCAATTTCAACCCCATACACTCCACCACCACCCTTTCCAACCATGCACACATACCCACTGGCCCTGTCAGGTTTGCAGAAAGTTCAGGTCGAAAGTCCGCACCTTCCAACAAGACCCGCAACCGCCAGCCCAATTGTTTTCCCTGCCTCTCATCTGCCAGCCGCAAGACACGTCAGCAATGGAGACCCAAGACGAACTTTGAGTGCTACGTACGAGGAAATTGGTTCTTCTAGTGCTCACAATTCTTCGGAAGAAAGAAGAATTGAGGAGCAAGCTGCTGAAGGCTTTGCCGGCATAATTGATGAGGTATGCTTTGCAACTCCCAATTGGCTTGTCTGGCAAGTCTGGTGGTAATCCTTTGTGATGGTTCAGGTGTGCTCCGGTGCTGCTCCCACAACTGATGCTGGCCTTTCAGCTCGATACCCTACAACTCCAGTGAAGAGAGGTGGCTCCGTCATCACAGGCCAATGATGAATAGAATGGAAAGCATGGTCCAAGCATGTGTCAAGATAACCTTCCCACCACGTTCATTTTGAGTATTGCTGACTGTGGCTATGTATTTCTGTCTCTTCACAATTAAACCAGCTGTGCGTCTGAAAAATACTCATATTAACCATAGCATTTTCGTGGATACAATAACCATTGTATTGAAGCCAGCCAACAAAAAGCTCACAATATCAAAATCGTACATGTAATGTCTCTTACACACAATGCAGCAGCATGTTACCAGAATTAGACAAAGGTGGAGAAGAAGTAGAGAAGAGTGCAAGGAAAATGAGCGATAGCGAACTTCAGAAACCAAGCAGCATCATACACATGAGACCAGATAATCGTGACCCCGAACCAAAAGCAGAATTGCAACACGAGTTCCACCAAATAAGAGCACAGAAAAAGCTCCTAAGTGACAAGGCTGGAATAGTCTCATCATCATCAACAAAGAACCAATGTCGACATCCTATCCGGCGCTCTGCGCCCAGACTACAAATGGCAGATCCTATCTAGCCTATCTACAATGCCGCTGGTGACGTCAACAGCTCCCCGAAGTACGAGCAGATCTCGGCCAATGCCGTTTGCCTCAAGCACCAGGTATGTCTCTCGTATCACTCACAACCTCGATCCCCCACTCACAGATGCCACATGCACCCAAGGACCACCATGCGCCCCATCCAGCATAATGCAGCGCAGCTCGGCTATGGCTGGCTGCTCTCCCTGCTCGCCCTTGAGCGCGTGGGTCTGGCCAGCGATTAGCGCAGCAGCACTTGCGCAGCACGCAGCCAGTGCCCCAATGCCGAATGCGTGGGCAGGCACTTTCCTAAATGGAAGTGGCCTGCCTGCTGCGTGAAGCCTGGCTGCGCTGGCCCCCTGCCCAGAAGCTTCCGGTCGACCCAGGAAGGCTGAGCCCCAGTCCAAACGAATCAGGCCCAGGGCCTGTGGTGGTTGCCCGTGTCCAACTGCCCACAGCCTGTGTTCGGTCCATGTTGCGTATCTGGCCCAGGGCCTGCCTCAGTTACATGTGAGAAAGGCAGCCCGGGCCTGGGCGCTCTCAACCAACTGACGTTGCGCAACTGCCTGAATTTTCCCCGGTTGCGTGGTGACCCAAAAAATGGGCCTTTAGGCCTTGGTCAAGCCTGCCTTCACTTAGGGCGGCCGACTGTACTGAAAATAGGGCCCAGTAGGGCGTATCGAGGCCTTGAGCCTCGCATTCCCTCCTCCATACTTCGACAGTCCTCTGAGAAGTTCCATTCCTCAATCTGGCGCTTTCCTTTCTGTAGTATCATTTATATATCTTGATTATTCTCGTTTCTATTTTTTATTCTTTTGTATTTATATCATTTATATATCTTGATTATTCTCGTTTCTATTTTTTNTGATTATTCTCGTTTCTATTTTTTATTCTTTTGTATTTATATCATTTATATATCTTGATTATTCTCGTTTCTATTTTTTATTCTTTTGTATTTATCGTATTGAGCGACAGCCTGTGGAGTGGTCTGCATCAGTTCCTCCCAGGTAAACCATCTGTCCTCATTAGGATCAGTGTGATGTCTGAACCGAACGCGATACTGCAGCTTCAGCTTAGGAGGACGTCCCGTGCCTGTTGGTCTTGGAACTGGCATTTCCCTGTGGTCCACGATGTCATCGATGTCGACCTCTCCATCCATGGTTGGGGGCAGCATTGAGCGACAAGAGGGAAACTGATCAGTTTCTTTGGAAGGTGCGAGTTTGGAGGCGTGAAAGACAGGGTAGTGCGAAGATGACCAGGGATCCGGATTACATAAGACGGCCCATCCGGATCACCCCCGACAATGTCCAGAACCTCCCATGGTCCAAAGTACTGTGGCATGAGCTTGCAGGAGATCTCGTGCTCCTGTCCCAGTTCTGCGGACTTGACCCAGACTCTGTCCCCTACCTGAAATGTAGATGGGCGGCGGTGTTTGTTCTCAGATTCTATCATCGCCGCCTGCGCCTTGTGCATTTGTTCTACAGCTTGCTGCATCAACTGCTCATATCGATATGCAAATTCTAACGTACCAGGTGCAGCTGTTGGCTGATTCTCAGGTAGTAGGAAATATAGAGGCAGTCTAGGCTTAAAAGTTAATAGCAGGCTGTTAGGACTCACCCCTGTTGCCCTGTGCACAGCATTGCTGTACAGGCTGGTGATGAGAACAAGTTTCGCATCCCAGTCCACCTGGTTAGGCTTGATGTAATGCCTCAACAGATGTTGTACAGTGCGGTTCAACTGCTCTGCTTGCCCGTTTGCCTCTGAGTGGTTCCCAGAAGTCATCTGCAGCTGTGTTCCCTGTTCTGCGGATGCAGCCTTCCACAACTCACTGGTCAGTTGGACATCCCTGTCACTCACAATAGACTTTGGAAGCCCAAAGTCTCTGACCCAGTTCTCTTTGAGATCACATACTCGGTCTTAGATGTAGCAGGCATTGCGACTAATCTAGCATATTTACTAAACCTATCCACTATGACATAGATGTATCTCATTCCGCTCTTGCAGGTGACCAGCGTGTCCATGAAATCCATAGACAGGCTCTCACAGGGCCTTTCCGGAATCGGAACGGGCTTGAGAAGCCCAAGAGGGGCCTGTGTACGTGGCTTGTCTCTCTGACACACGTGACAAGTCTCTACGTACAGCTCTGCATCTTTCATAATTGTGGGCCAGCAAAACCGCTGCAACAGATTTGCTGTATTCTTCCTATACCCAAAATGTTTGGTGGCATCATGACGCTCGCCTAAAAATAAACTACGCAAAGACTCCTGGTTTGGAACACACAAACGTTTTTTCCCGCCCTTCTCAGCAGGCCGTTGACCAACACAAACTCGTCAGCAGTTGCTTTGTCGTTTGCCTCGAGTCTGCGTACGATCTCAGCCATAAACGGGTCCTCGCGGCAGGCTTCCACCAAAGACTGAGTAACATTGTCCGCAAGCCCAAATTTAGTGACCAGCGCACCCAGGAAGTCTGGCCTACGCGACAAAGTCTGATGATCAGTCCTGACTAGAAGAAGCGACCAAGGAGGTTGTGCCTCCAGTGAGTCAACGTTTTGTAGATCGCGTAGAGTTTCTTCTCATAAGTGGACTTGGCCAGCTTCTGAGAGGGCATCTTTTTGGACATGTACTCTACCGGCCTCAACTTTTTCCCCTTCTGTTGCGCAAAGTACGGCACCAATGCCATATTGGCTGGCATCCGTGGTCACAACAAATGGCTTGTCAGAATCGGGCGGTTTCAAGACCTCATGGTGAGTAGGGCATGCTTCAGATGTCTGAAAGCAGCCTCACACCTGTTTGTCCACTCCCATGGGGTGTCAAGGCGTGTCACGTCAGTCAACGGGCCGACCACTATGCTATAGTTCTTGACAAAATTGTGGTAGTAGTCGGTCATCCCTAAGAAGGACCTCATCTTAGTCACAGACTGAGGACGCGGCCAGTCACGAATGTTGGCCACCTTCTCGTCATCGAGCTTCAATCCCTCCGCGGAAATCTCATGATCCAAGTACAAGATTCGGGTGCGGTCAAACTTGCACTTCTCCCCGTTGATCTTGAATTGGTGTTGTCGAAGGAGGCTAAGGACTTTTTCTAAATGGCCAACGTGCTCCTCGACAGTCCTACTAAAAACAAGTATGTCATCGAGGTACGCGATGACAAACTAGTCCAAGTAGTCATGAAAGATCCGATTCATGACGTGATGAAAGGTGCCAGGAGCATTGCAAAGGCCGAAAGGCATCACCACAAATTCGTACAGACCGTACGTGGTGTGAACAGCGGTTTTGTGTTGATCCTCGGGCCGGATTGCAATCTGATGGTACCCGGACTTCAGATCTATCTTACTGAAGTACTGACACCCTTGCACTCGGTCCAACAAGTCATCGATGCGAGGTAGGGGCTCTACGTTCTTCACAGTGATGGCATTGAGGCCCCTACAATCAATGCACATCCTCAAGATCCCCCCTTCTTCGGTACAAATAAGACTGGCGATCCGTAAGGGGAGACACTAGGCCGGATCCAACCCTTCTCTATGAGTTCCTTGAGCTGTCAGTGAAGCTCATCGAGCTCAGTTGGAGACATCCGATAGATCCTACCCTTCATAATACTAGACCCTGGGATAATCTCTGTCTCGTGGACGACGTCCCTCTCAACAACCCCTTTCGGCTCTTCAAATAGATCAGGGTATTTAGCGACTACGCCCTCTACCTCTGGCTGCATTTTCACCGACTTGCCTGCTGTAGAGACATAAACTAAGTACATACCCTCCTCTGGATTTTGCTTATAATAGTTATAGAACGCGGCCGCACACATGCATCCGCAAGACTCGATCAGTCTACTCGCCTTGAACTTACGTAATCTGGCGGTCACCCCTTCGGGCAGTGTGTGTTTGACCACTTTTCGGTCCCAGTCAAACTAGGGCTATGCAACTGAAAGATAGTACATACCCAACAGGATGTCCATTGGGAGATCATCGCTGACAAGGAACGAGACGTGATGTCTCAGTTCCCCTGCCGCGTACGGGAAACAACACTCAACGTCCTTAAGGTAGTCGTTGACTACCACGCGCTGTTTGTTGGCACAGGTCGACTCCACAGGTCGACTCAGGCGCTGCACTTTCCCCTATAAGCGCAGCCTCTCAACGCACACGCGACTTGTAAAGTTCTACGTCGAGCAATTGTCATAATAGGCCCCGACCTTGCGGCCGCCGATGACTACCTTGCCGACGAACAACTCACCCTTAGGGGCTTTGGCCATAGCCGTCCAAGAAGCTAGCAGGTCTCATCTAGACCACTCCTCCTCTAGCTCCTCTAAGGACTTAAATACATTCAATGAACGGAGGATCAATGGGTCCGAATGTGTTTGCGGGACGGAACTGGAGTCAGTAGCTTGGGCCATCTCTTGAGATGGTGAGGGTGTGTCCACCACCTCGACCCTAACAGGAACAACTACTATTTCTACTGGACCGACGTGTTTTCCGGAGCAGTGCCAGAACTGCTAGCCACGTTGCTTCCTGTGGAAACGGAGGATACCAACGCCTGCCCCATTGTAGGCGGGATCTTTTCGATCACCTTCTTGTTTCGACACTTGAACTGGTTATGGCCATATTGGCCACAACGGATAGAAGCTTGCCGGATGTATCGGTCTCTCCACACGTCCTCTGTGAGACTCGCTTTCTCCCATGGAGGAGTATTGGGGTCAACTTGACTCCTAGACCGGGAGCCTCAATGGCATCTACCGGTCGCCTTACCTTTTTGAACTAAGGCAGCGACTGCTCCACCCCCTGAAGCCTCTACGCTACCCGTCTCTGCACCTACTCCCTCATGGAAGTCGTCGCCCAACTCAATGGTGGAACCATCGTTGTCGACGAACATGATGCGACCTTTCGCCTTCCAGTTGGGAGGCAGTGTTTTCGTCCTTCCATCCGTTGTGGGTTGGTGTCCGTGCCCTATCTTTGCGTCCAGGACAAGGGCCTTCTTGCTAAACGAAGGGAAGTTGTGCACATTGATGTTAGCCTCTCCTGCCAACTGATTCCTGAGTGGCATGGGAAGACACCTCTGGTAAGTGGTCAGTAAGCCTTGGGGATCATAGCGCACTCCAGGAACACAGATCAGACGCTCTACAACGTTTGTGGCATCTCTTACTGACTTGAACGGCCTATTGCTCAAAGTCAGGATCGCATCAGCGGCCTTTTGGGCCTCATGAGGATCATGCCACCTATCCTCCACCATCTTGAGAAAGTCTTCCAGTCTCTGGTTGACTGCCCAAGCCCGGAAATCATGTCCGTACCCTTGCAGTTGCACTAGCCCACTTAACCATCTTGCTGCACTCCCCTCAAGATAGGAGGCAACCACAAGCACTTCCTCGTGCGGCAAGGTCAACTTACACTTGATGTAGACCGACACTGATCTCAACCATGTGTCAAGGTCTTCGCCCCTCTTGTCCCCTTACAAGGGTTTGGGTGAGGCTATGGCCGTCTTTGGAACCCACTGGCCTTGTCCCGGTACCTGCCCCACTCTGGGCTGTGGACACTTGGGCGCAGGCTGCTGCACTAGCTGCTGTTGGGGTTGTGTGCCCTGCGGTTGTGCTGGCTGCGAGATAGCAGGCTGCCCAGTTACGACAGTCTGCAACAGAGGTTGGGAATACACTATCTGTACAGGAATCTATACACTAGGACCTGATGAGAACCCGCCTATCAAAGGCATTCCTAGGGAAGCGGCCTGCACCGATGCTAGAGGGATTACAAATGGGGACACCCCAGTCACCGGTGGGACAAAAGGAGGAGGTTGTACCACGGGCCAGGCACCAGGCCCTGATGGTGATGGTGTCGTCTGAGCTCGCCCGGCCAGCACGGCCAGGCTCTATTGGATGTCCTGTAAGAGGGCCATTTGGTGATCCTGCATTTCTACTACATCTAGCAAGACTGTCCTCAGGGTCCTCACATCATCATCCATATTTGTCAGGTCCATCTCCTCTAACTCACTAATGTCTGCTTGTCTCCAATGCATCCTTGCTTTTCTCCTGATCATTCTTTCTTTTTCTGCCTTTATCTCTCCTAAAGCCTTTTGTAGTTGTGCCTCCTGAGCATCTGCTTGTTGTATGGCGATCTCCTCAGGAGTCAAAACTAACGGTTGGCTTGCCATAACGCCAGTGGATTGACTCAGGGTCTGCGCAGTGGTCACCCCTACAATTCCTGAACTACTGGCCTGGGAGCTCTGCTGCGCAGCAGTGGCCATGACTGTTGAAGTAGCAGCCTCGCTTGCGAATGCCTGCGGCCCTAGCCCTCCGCTGCTGCTGCTGTCTCTCCCTCTGCTGGCGGAACAGGAATCTGTCGCCCTCTGGTCCTAATGCCAAGTGGGCTATCGGGCGCCTTGCTGATCGCAGGATCCTATCATCCTCTCTAGTTTCCTCCCTGACGCTCATAAGCTACAGAATCGCACACAATCTGCACTAGGTCAAACTCGATGCCTACCGCAGCGTAATGCACAGACCAATTTAAAATAATTAAATAAATAATTGGTGGCTATGTCAGAGTCTATACATTTGGGTCCAACAGGTAAGTCCAGATTCCTACAAACGAAGCTACTTTACTTGGATTAGTCCGCAAACAAATAAACAAATGAGGAGAAACTATTTTACTTGAATTAGTCCGCAAACAGATAAGCAAATGAGGAGAAACTATTTCTACCTATGCCGTCTGTCAGATGTTAATCGTCCTCCATCTAACTAATCAAAATAAAAATAGAATAATTTGTTGGGTATGTTGGCAAAATGGATTTTCCCCAAACTTATCACCTGAAATCTACCCCTCCCTCAGTTTTTCCTGATTGTCTATGCACTATGTTTATCCTCATGTGCAGCGAGCCTTACACCGACCACTTGGCTGATCAAGAGGCGTTTAAGGATGAAGTCCTCATGAATTATAACGTTGCAGATAGGACGACGATCACAGCCAGTGGAAGGTAACCCCGTCAGTGCTTATTTATAGACGCCTGGTACTCGTCTCCCCTGTAGGGCTGGCCTGCCCCTCACCACCCATCTATCAGCGCAGCAGGCAGACAAAGGACAAAGCAGCAAAGCATGCGTGCTCTACTCCCGGTGGGTTGGCATGGTGATCGTGACCTAGTGCTTCGTCCAGGGCCCTTCAGATAGCTCCGCCCTCTTCTTCCAGATGCTCCACGTGAACAATGCCGACTCTCAAGGTTGAGCGCACTCGACTCCTCACATGAGAGGACTCTCAAGACAGAACACACATCCTCACGGTAAGAAGTGTCGAAGAGGGTAGATACGGTGAAGAGCAACATACCTCAAAATAGCTGCCCCCAACCACATATATTCTCACCAGATGACCTGATGCCGATTGTGATGACCAATAGTTGCTTCGACACAACCAGCATTACACCGCTGTTCCACCTCAGCATCAATCGCACATCAGATAGCTCTCATCACACTGCGAATACCCATATCACCTCATAGCCTTCCTGGCGAACCCCTCTCCACCTGGGTCGCCTGCTTGCCTTCGCCCTCCTCACTGCACACCTCCCACGGCCGCTCACCCAGCAGACTGCGTGCATGTACCGCATAGGCAGAAGACAAGCACCAGAGTAGCGCATCGTACCACAGCTCTGATACCAAATTGCAAGGAAAATGAGTGATAGCGAACTTCAGAAACCAAGCAGCATCATACACATGAGAGCACATAATTGTGACCTCGAACCAAAAGCAGAATTGCAACACGAGTTCCACCAAATAAGAGCACAACAAAAGCTCCTAAGTGACAATGTTGGAATAGTCTCATCATCATCAACAAAGAACCAATGTCGACATCCTATCTGGCGCTCTGCGCCCAGACTACAAATGGCAGATCCTATCTAGCCTATCTACAATGTCGCTGGTGACGTCAACAGCTCCCCGAAGTACGAGCAGATCTCGGCCAATGCCGTTCACCTCAAGCACCAGGTATGTCTCTCGTATCACTCACAACCTCGATCCCCCACTCACAGATGCCACATGCACCCAAGGACCACCATGCGTCCCATCCAGCATAATGCAGCGCAGCTCGGCTATGGCTGCCTGCTCTCCCTTCTCGCCCATGAGCGCGTGGGCCTGGCCAGCGATTAGCGCAGCATGCAGCCAGTGCCCCAATGCGGAATGCGTGGGCAGGCACTTCCCTAAATGGAAGTGGCCTGCCTGCTGCGTGAAGCCTGGCTGCTCTGGGCCCCTGCCCAGAAGCTTCCGGTAGGCCCAAAGAGGCTAAGCCCCAGTCCAAACGAATCAGGCCCAGGGCCTGTGGTGGTTGCCCGTGTCCAACTGCCCACAGCCTGTGTTCGGTCCATGTTGCGTACCTGGCTCAGGGCCTGCCTCAGTTACATGTGAAAAAGGCAGCCTGGGCCTGGGCGCTCTCAACCAACTGGCGCTGCGCAAGTGCCTGAATTTTCCCCGGTTGCGTGGTGACCCCAAAAATGGGCCTGTAGGCCTTGGTCGAGCCTGCCTTCACTTAGGGCAGCCCATTGTACTGAAATAGGGCCCAGTAGGGCGTATCGAGGCCTTGAGCCTTGCAAAAGGAAGGAAAACTCAATAATAATCAATGAGTACAATTTCCAGCTTCTCTAGTCCTACATGTACCTTTGGGATCCTTCTCCAACCAGCATGCCACCTCGGCATGCACTAGTGTTACGGACTACACCAGGACTCCATCCCTGGTCCGCGGGACGCTACCGGCAGTTCACTGCACACATTTTTATTTTTCTCTTTGTTTTAATTTTCTGATTTGGGACACTTGGCGCCATCCGGCATTCTGGCGCCCATTTTCAAACTTTCGATTTTCAGTTCAGCCCTAGGCAAATTGCACTTCTGCCCATCGGACTCAACTTGAGTCCGATAAGATCGGACCCAAGCCCAGTACGGGCATTCAGTCTGCGGCCTCAGTGCTTGTGCTTCGGTGTGACTTGCCTCGACATTGTGTTCGGAAATCCAAGACTTTGACTTTGCCACTTTGCCACTTCGTCCCTGCGTCCGTCGAGTCATGTCGAGTCTGCGTCGAGTTGAGTGAGTGTGTGTGTGTGCTCTCACTCTCTCCCTCTCTCTCCCAGCCTCGTTGCCTTGCCTCTGCCTCTGCCTCAACCCCGTCACACTGGTATCGGAGCGGTTCGAACCCGCCCGACCCACCCTTCGTCGTCACCACCTGGCCATCATCAATGTCATCGTCGTGATCGTAGCCATCGTGCCACGTCATCATCGTCATCGTCGCGATCGTCGTCGTCGTGCCACGTCATCATGTCACCATCGTCGTGCCCGTCGTCCTCGTCGCCGCGCTGTGCCATCCTCGTCATCATCGTTGCTACCCCGCGCAGATAAGTAATCGACGACAATTTTCTTTTTTTTATTTTTTATCTTTCTTCTTCTTCTTCTTCTTCTTTCTCCCTCTAATCTTCTTCCTTCTTCATTTTCTTCTCCCTATTTTTTTTCCCTTTTCTTCTTCTTCTTCTTCTCCTTTTCTTCTTTTACTCCCTCCCCCCGCCCCCGATTGCAATCACGACTCTACCCCCCC